GTTCTGTGTATTTCCATGGTCTGTTCGATTATTTCCTCCCCCAGTTTGGGGAAATTTTCAGCAATTATTTCTTCCAAGATACTTTCCATCCCTTTTCCTCTCTCTTCTCCTTCTGGTACCCCTATAATAAGGATATTTTTCCTTTTGGATTGATCACACAGTTCTCTTAATATTGTTTCATTCCTAGAGATCCTTTTATCTCTCTCTATGTCAGCTTCTGTACGTTGCTTTTCTCTGGTTTCTATTCCTTCAATGGCCTCTTGCATCTTGTCCATTCTGCTTATAAATCCTTCCAGAGTTTGTTTCATTTCTGTAATCTCCTTTCTGGCATCTGTGATCTCCCTCCAGACTTCATCCCATTTCTCTTGCATATTTCTCTGCATCTCTGTCAGCATGTTTATGATTTTTATTTTGAATTCTTTGTCAGGAAGACTGGTTAGGTCTGTCTCCTTCTCTGGTGTCTCTGTGATCTTGGTTTGCCTGTATTTTGTCTTTTCATGGTGATAGGAATAGTTTGCAGATCTGGGACGAGTGACACCTGGAAGAATTTCCCTTCTTGTTGGTTTGTGGCCTTCCTCTTCCCCTTTGCGAGGTGCTGGGTTCTCGCAGGTGTGGATGTGGCCTCGATGTTGTCCTGTGTCCTCTGGTCTTTATTCTAGGAATAGTTGTCTTTGTTATATTTTCATAGATATATGTGGTTTTGGGAGGAGATTTCCACTACTCTACTCATGCTGCCATCTTGGCTCCACCCTGTAGACTATATAATTTTAATAGGGTTTTGAAGCCTAAACTTGATTTAAATTTTTTTAACTGCAAAAATCATGTAAAATATTCATGTACTCTTAACCCCACATGAATAAATGTTTACAGCTCCCATATTTGCTTAAAATAATTAAAAATACTAATGAATCTGCACATTGTATTAGACAGTTGATTGAGCACATGTATCCACATTAGACTGCCCTGAAACTCTTCTAAAATTACTAATAAAGGGATTTTAAAAATACCAAGTCATAAGGAGCAAGAGAACAGGAAAAAAAAACAATGAAAATGTATTTTGGAAGATGAACTTCAAATGGATAAGTGATAAGTAATCTAAGAGTACCAAGAGAGTTGAGTCCTAAATCAACAGGTGGAAAAACCAATTAGGCACCTGATTTTTACTTGGAGGTCCCAAGAAGGATCTGAAATATGTGGCATTAGGTAACTCTCTTAATGGAATAATGGAATAGAAACATGAGTTTTGGTTGAAAGTGTGTTTTAGATGGAATTGGATTTCCAGATCCTAGTCCCCAATTCTTGCATTTTAGGATTTTAGGCCTATTACCCTTTTCCTTACCCAACTCCAATCTGGAATTTTATTGTCTGAATAAAAGTTCAAAACCTCTCTGTTCTAGTTTACATCAGACAGAATGAAGATAAAAAGAGTATCCTGCATTTATATATTAGTTTTCAATTGCTGTGAAACAACTTACCCCAACACTCAGTTGCTTGAAACAATATTGAGCACCTCATAGTTTCTGTAGATCTGGGAAATGGACACAGCTTAGCTGGATTCTGTGGTTCATGGTCCCTCAGATGTTGAAATCAAAATGTTGGGAGGAATTATAGATTTCAATGCTGAACTGGTGAGGGATCTATTTTCAATCTCACTCAGTTTGTTGTTGGAAGGACTTGGTTCTTGAGGCCAACCCCAGTTCCTTGCCTTGGGAGTCTCTTCAGAATTACATAGTGCTTCATAAAAGTAAGAAAGTCAGGAACATGAAATATTGTTCAAACAAGACAAGAGATAATCTTTTACAATTTATTTTTATATCCAAAATTGTATTCTACCACCTTTGCCCATTTGATTCATATGAATCAAGTCATTAGGCCAGCCCACACTGAAGAGGAGAGGATTATACAATATGTGAATATTAGGAGGTGATGTCACAGGGGATATGTCAGGAATTTTGCCCACCATGCATGATTTTTATGTGTGGAACTCCAGAACTGCCAACCTTCCTTGCTCACTCAGCTTTGAATCCATGAAATAGAAGCAAGACATAAAAATGGAACAGTACAAATAAAGAGCTTTTGAAAATTAAATATATCTAATTAAAATGAAAAGCTTAATAAAATGGTTGATTATGTAGTGAAGAAAATGTAGCAAGAGTCAAAAACCTAGGATACAGCTGTGTGAATTTAAGAAAAACAGAGAACTTGTCAGGTCAAATGTTCTAAAATAATTCCAAAAAGACAGAAAATAAGGAAAATCATCAAGAAAATAATTAAAATAAAAATTATAAAATTGAAGGATACAGGGTTGCATACTGTAAGCCTGTACCCCATACCAACTCAGTAAAATGGACAAAAAAAAAAGGCTCATGTAAAGTATGCTGGTATGACATTGATGATGAAACATCAGAACAATGATGAAAAAATGATATCTATTAACTTCTAAAGAGAGAGAAAAATGTTACAGAAAAGTACACAGAGTCAGCAATCAGAATCACTTTAAATGTATAAACAACACTGAATAATAGAATGCAATGAAACAATGTTTTCAAAGTTTGACAAAAACATATTTCCAACTTTGAATTTTATATCCAGTTGAATTATCAATATGTGTGAGGATGAATAAATTTATATTCTTTAGTACTTTCCATTCAACCTTTCTTAGGAAGACAGTGGATGATATACTATACCAAATAAAGGTATAAGTCAGGAAGTAATGAAACTTGGTTTCAGAAAATATGCCTCCAGCACTGAGACAAAAGAGAACAGAATTATGAGAATATAATCAAAGATGATCCCAAGATGAGATCTATGTCCCAAGAACAGACGCCAAAACAGGCCTGATTGGAGTGCTCAGGCAGTTATTGGAAAGATTTCTTCCCTAAGATAAAATTGATAGAGTGCCTGATGCATATGAACACAAGAAGAGTAATATAATTAGCAAATAATTTGGGTTTATTTTTGTGTTATATGTAATAAGACAGGAAAAACACAGTTTTAAGAAAGACAACTAATCATATGTCTGTTGATCTGTTGATAGTATTTGCATAGTAATAATAATGCAATGGTGAATATAGGACTAATGAAAATTTTGATAAATAGGAGTGATGGGAGGATGTGGTGGAATGATTATGTAGGGGAATGCTGAAAAGGAAACAATTCCTTATCTTCCTTATTTCAAAATGAATAGCAATGAATAAACCTAAAAAGAAATGAAATGCTGAAGTGTGCATGTTATTTAGAGATAGTGTGATATACAAAAACAATCATTTAAAAGGGCCATAATGGTTGATTTTAGAGATAGGGATGTCAGGAGCAGAGACACTGAACCACTGTTTTATTAATAAACTTTGTAAAACTATATGAGCCATTAAAATATGCTCATGTATAACAATGATTAAAATAAAACTAATATAAAAATAATATACTTTTTGTGGTCTTAAATATTTCACAAATATGCTTAACATAATGTGTATCATTCTTCAATTTGAATCTTCTGTCAGCATATTTTTTAATCTTATACATCAATAAATATGCATCTCTTTCAGTTAGTTGTGTTGTGGTTTTACAGTATTCTAACATATGAGTTAATGCCCAAATTAATTATCAATTTTTTAACACTGCTGACAGTGTAATGAAGACTCTTACACATGCTTTGTAAGACTTTATCTAAACTTAATTAGAAATGGAATTGAAGGACTGTAAGTATAGGATTAAGATTTTAATTTTAACTGCTTATTACCAACTTGTTCTCCATAATGTCTGTAAAATTTTTCAGTAGAAATATTCCAAATTTGGCAAGAGATGAATATTGCCTTACGATTGTCCAAAAAAGAGGAAGTAGTTCTACTTTGATAACTGATTTTTCTATAAACTGTTCATTTACTTTATTGTTAAATTTCTATAGTGATTTTTCTCTAAGGTGTTCATGGGGTTTATTTTTTTCATTTTTTTCTATGCGATAAATGCAGGACAGTGAAACAACAGTAGAGTTTTAATAGAAAAATGACTGTGATTCAAAACTGTTGTGCCCAGCAAGTATATTGTTTATGTGTGAAGTAAACATTCAGAGGCCTGTATAGCTTCAAAAGAATAACAAATATATTTTTCTCAAAAAGTTTCCAGAAGAATTTTTCCATATCACTGAGAGGAACAAAATATGAGCTAAGAAATGGCTATGAACATTCCACACTAAAAACCAAGGTAAATGTATAAAATTACTAAAATCTATGGGAAGGCGTAGGATTTAATGCATGTAAATAACTATTGTAATCATACCTCCAAGAAAGAATGTTTAAGTCTAAAAAAATCTTGAAAGATAAATTTATTTCCTTAAATATGGGGTTTGTGACCTCAAGATAAAGTAAATATGAACTGGTAGAACTTCTGGGGAATAATGTAAGAAGAATGGGTAAGAGTATCTAAAAATAAAGTTTAATTTTAATATTAATATAAATGTAGTTTTTTTAAGCAAATATCAAAATCTTTAAGTCTGTGAATTGAAATGAGCACCCTAATTTTTAAATCACTGCAGAAATTAGTAAAATAAAGATGGAATGCAAAGGAACTACCCAGAAAAGCATAAAATAAAGTTTAAAGTTATGCATTGGACCAAATATAATGTTATGGAAATAAATATGAGCAGCTAAAATTAATTAAATAAACGTTGAGACTTAAACTGAATAACAGGAAAAACTACTGTTGGTTATGGATGATGTCTTATAGAAAATACCCTTTCAAGCAAAACCTGAGGGATAAGAAAATTTGAAAATGACATCAGAATATTTTAATTATGGAAATAAAAGAAAATTAGAAATGAGAAAAAATGAAGATAATAACAATGAGATTGAATGCATTTTTCATTTTGACTTCTCTGCCTGTAGAATTCCTTCTCATTCTATAATGATATGCTAAAACACCACTCGTTATTCAGGTGTTTACCAATAGGCTACAACCTTAAAGAATGAATGAATATCTCCCCTTTGCATTTTGCAGTCCTTCCAAGACTGCATTTAGACACAGTAATCCAAATGACCCTTTCTTGTCCTATGTCAATTGTTTGGTGGCAGAAAACATGCACTATTAATTCTTGTTGCCAATGTCTAGAATATTCTAAGATGCATGTATGTTAAAATCATGTTTACAAATTAAGTTGATTTTTTTAATGTTCTCAGCCTCCTTATTCATATGTAAGTTCCTTATAAAAATGATCACACTTTGTAATTTTGTGGTAATTACCATTAGAAATATGTCTAATTCATACATCCTTGAATGTGTGAAGAATTTTTTCAAACTCTAACATCATGGTATATTTACTTGCAAAATCCTGAAAATATAATGCTCATTTTTAAGTATCTTTGCATTTAGAAGACGTTATTAAAATAACAGATTTTACAAATACTCAATAAATACACAATGCATTTTTCCACTATTCTTTACTTTTTTGTACCTTATTAAACAGTCTTTAATGGGTTATATTTTGGATTAGTAGCAAAACTGGGAAGACAATTTAAGGCAAATTACCTTACAGATTTTAGCATTACCTTAAGGAAATCACAAAACTGTGATATCAAAGATTAAATCTAGATTAGTACTTGGACCCAGGTTTATGTTGAGCTTTATTTATTTCTTTTTCTGAGCAAAATATGTTTTTCCTACAAGCTTAATGAAAAAATTTTCATGGTATCTTGAGTATCGATTTTAAGTAGATGTCTAAATTAAAAAGTGTAAGAAAAAAATAACTCTTGAGTACTGAAATCAGTTTCACTGTTTTATTTTAGTAAAAAAACCAGTTAGTTAGCTTTTAGTTAATAACATATTTCAGAAGGATATCCATTAAGTTCTAATTAAACTATGTGCATTGTATAATTACTATTCAAATTTGTACACTACTATAGGTAAAATTGCTATACTTGTGTTTGCTGACTGTGGCCGGAAAATGTCTAATGAAGAGCCATTTTCACAATTTTTACAATTCTTTCCTATGGCCATTTCTAGAACTGGACTTTCTTCATTTATTTCAAGTTAGTTTCAGCCTCAGTCTTATAGCCAGTCTGTTCATTTACACACTGCCTTGAGAATTACTAATTAGTGCAAATTCATTTATTCATCTTGGTTCTTTCTCAGGCGTTCAGGTGTTCTGAATTGTGTGAATTTTCCTTTGAGTTGTATGGCACTTTGTGTTCATTCTGTCTGTATTGTAGTTCTCAGATCTAAAATAAGGAAATTGATTGGGATAAATTTCAGGTACCCATCAATGATTTTAAAATACAGTGGGCATTTCAAGTCATGCATCTTCTAGAAATCAAGTATCTATAATTTAGTCATCAGCAAAATGAAAATATTAATTGTTCCATGTTTCTTAACCAGAAAAATATAAATTAATGGTAATGATTATCACTAAATTGAACACCTACCCAAAACTATAGGAGATAGACACAAAAAGTCTTAAATGCAGTCTGTTTCTGTGAAGGAATTGTTGGCCAGCTGGTAGAATCCGTAAAGATTTGTTTGCTTCTGCAGAGGCCTCTGCTTCTCCATGGTAGGAGTGCCAACTTCAAAGATGTGTTCGGCTCATGACTCAAATATTTTGGAAGTTCTATTGGAGTTCACATTGACTAAGAATATTGCTGGGAAATGACTAAGAAATTCTGTAAGACATCCTTAAAGAAAATTGTATCTAATTACATACCGTTCCCAATCTTTATATTCTGCTTTTCAAAAATTTTAATAAAACATTGTCATTAATTATTTTGTATAAATTACCTGAAAATCATAATATCATTTACACTATTTATACATGTAGAGGACCATAATTATGTTCTTCTGTATTTGCCATTTAGTGCAAAATATAGAAAGGAAATATTACTGACAAAAACTACTGAGCTACTGTTCTTTCTGTCACATGTTAACACTAGCACTTTTCCTTGACAGTGGTCCCCAAAGTTTTTTGATAACACATCCCATCATTAAAATATTTTTGGCCAAAAGTCCCAAAACATGTCTATTTATTTATAAATCATGTATGCATACTTCTTTACTAATGCATTATGCACACTGTAAACCATCATATAGTACAAAGGCTGATTTGGTTAATTACATATGTATATTTATACTTCAAATTGTCTTTTGATGACTTAGAAATTTTTTGCCAGCCTCTTGCCAAAATAACATCATTGTTTTTTTTTACAGTGTGGCCTACCAGAAGACTGAACTTATAGCATCACTTCTGCCATTTTCTAATATGTGCTCATGTGTAGCATAAACCATATATTTTATTGTTTATTTGGCAGAAATCTTTGTAGGTCATGTCCATTTTGTGAGTATTGTATTAATTAAAACTATAAAACATATAAGGTGTAAGGTCATTCAACTGTGCATGTGTAAATTCCAGTAAGTTAGAAATGTTGAGGCAATTAGATTAAGTGTGACACTGTCAATCTCTCCAGGATGTGGAACTTCTACTCTTTACCCAGGACACATCATATGCCATCTGTGACATGTGACTCTAGAAAAAGGGGCTAAGCAAGGAAGCAGTGCCAGTCTGCATATTCAAACTCTGCAAGTGACTGCCCTGTTTACAGACAGTCTCCTGGCCCAGTCTTCCAGTGTGGGTATACATAGCCTGGGGTTATAAGATGCAAGCACGGATGGTTTTAAGGAAATTAATTTCCTGAATCTCACTTCCATATGGATTCTTTCCTAAGACTGATAAGGTTCCTGAGTCAAGCAGCTTATTTCCTACATCTTTCTCTAGTACACTTATCTAGACTTTATATTAAAAAGGAACACTTTTCATCATCCTGACATTAATTATAGTATATTGTTTCAGGATGTAAAACACACACACATACACACTCAATCACTCAAACACACACACATACACAGAGGATAAACTAGGTTTTAGTTTTAGAGTTGAGAAAATGCATGACTCTAAAGACTGGAAAACAAATGTTTTTTCTGGTGGCTTCCAATTCAAACTTTCAACAGAATTGGACAACCCAATTCAGTTGTCAGATGACAGATTATTAAGTATTTTTTTAATGGGAAATCAGCATGTGATTTTTGGCACAAAACTCAGAAGGGGTTCAAATGATTGAGTTATATGCTTATAACAAGTCTGTTCAAATCTGTACACTTATATGAAGAAATTTTCTTCATGTTCAGACATATTTTTTTTAATAAAAGAAAGGAATAGATGTTGAACTCTGAATTATTCTCACAATAAATAATACTCATTCATGGATACCTGATAGAAGATCTTTAATAAACTGTTCATTAAATTTGTATGTGATTGTAAAGATATGTTAATATAAAGTGTTTTTTAAAAACTTGCTATCTTACATCAATAGGAAAATTTAAAAAATTTTAAATTTAATAAATATATTTTATAGAAATAATAAGAGGCTTTCAACAAATGACTTAAGTGTATTATATACATTGCAATAAAATTCTGTAGAGGAATTGGGATTAACTATACAAAGAAATAAAAAATGTGCAATATTAGCCTTGTTCATCTATTTCTTTTAAATTAGTGATGTATATCAAATCACTATGATATTTAGATCTGTTTGTATGTAATCAAAGGACAGATATAAACTGTCCATTTTAAAATGCCAATATTTAATGAGGCAAAATTTCAAAATTTTTAGCTATTTTAAACTATTACAATTTGTCAACCTGGAAACTTCCTTGAAAATACTAGTTTTATTCTAAATTTCTACAGGGGATATAAGAGGAAAAATACTTGTAAAAAAAAAACACTAGACAAGCACTATAATTATAGCATCAGCCTATATCAAAAGATAGTATGTTCTGAATGATAAAAGCCAGGCAGATTTTAGGGAGAAAGAACAAATATGAAAGAATGATAGGAGGTATTTAGATCTAATGTAAAACCAGTGCACAGTTATTTCACACATACAGGTCTAATTACTGCTACACCTGAATACAGTCAACAATTCTGTGTAGTGTCTCATAATTTATATCAAAGTGAATTTTTTAAAAATGTATTTGTTTTATTATAATTATTATTACTAATATTACTGTTATGCAGAAAGATACAAATGAGGAGGATGGAAAGGAGAAAGGGCCCTCCCAAAGATGACTCAGAGAGTGCATCAAATAGATCCAGAAAGTCAGAAATGACTCAGAGAGTTAATCAGATAAAGCCACAGGGTCCAAGAGTGACTCAGGAAATGTCAAGGGTCCCCCCAGATAAGAAGCATGAGAAGCACAGGCACAGGACAGGCCCTGTCCCCATTTCACCAATCAGAACAAGCCTAGAGAGCTGACAGCTGTCAATCAAGGACCCCTCTGCCCTGCCAAAACCACTTAAAAAAGCCTCAGAATCACTTTGGATTAAAGATGGCAGTGTGAGAGGAGAGACAGAGGCTTCCTCCTAAAACTGGATACAATTAGAAAATTTAATTGGTGCAACTAATCCTGAGAGAGCAATAGGAAAGAGGATGGCATCAGACTGCACATACCTGGAGAAAAGACCAGACCTCAGCGAACGGGGTAAGTATCACAGCTGTGGCTCCGTGGGACCTGAGCCCCTCTCCCATCCCAGCTCACCAGCGGGAGGAAGACAAAACAGA